ACTTATGTAAGTGGGTAAACATAACCACAATCACAAGTGCAATCGTAAGAAATTATGCTTAATAATTTTTTGGTGTTCGACATCCAACCGATCTACATCTATGCCTAATTCCCCACCTAGATTAGAATTCCACCACCAGTCCCACCATTTAATGACCTAGCAGAGAGGCCAGCACAAGCATACTCTCTTACACGGGCTAGTGCAATCTAACCCATTATAATTTGTAACATATTAAGTTCTCTATAATTTAGTGAATCTAAAGCATATAAAATACAAATAAATCTATTAAAACAAAAAAAACAACATTTCTTACAATGCTTTGGTAGTTGATGAAATATCAAATTGTGAAAGCTTAGAAATGTATCACTTTGGCTTTCACAAGCTTTGCTATTGTTTTTGTTTTGAAACTTCAGAATAAAAGAGTGGAATGAGAAGGATTTGAAAGAGTTTTTGCTATGAAGCTTCTAACTCTATGATGATCTCAACGAGTGATATTTATAAGCCTAAATTTAGGCTTAGAAGGTTTCTCGACAGCTATACGCAAACCTGTTAGGCCTATTCAAATTTACAAAAGGAGGACTGGTGGGGTCCGCCCCCTTTAATGCTGCCGCTCATTTGGAGCAATGGGGAGAAGGGGTTTTGAGAGGCTAGTTTGAGAGGGAAAATTTGAATGTGAGATGTTTGAAATTAGGAAAGGAATTGTATTAGTAAGGGGGCTGGTTGGAGGGAGTTTTTCTCATGCTTGAATATTTGTGTTCTCTTGAGTTCTTGGGTGTTTTGGGCTCTAGATTGCTTTTCTAGAGTTTTGGGAGAGAACGATCCTCCTCTCGAATTGAGGATCACTTGTATCTTGCTTTGTCTTTGTTTGGCTAGATTTTCTCATTGCAATCCATCGTTTGGGGGCTGATTTTTCGTCCAGATTTTGCATTATTCTCGCTGTTTTCACCAATTAGTGATAGGTTTGCTTGCGAACTCAAGTATTTCCCTTGGGGATTCTTGCGAACTCAAGTATTTCCTATCCATAAAACTATCAAGGTTAACCCTAGAGTTCTTAGAACTTCGTTGGTTGATTAGATGCACGATTTATAATTATATGTATGATTAGTTTATTCCAAATAAAATATCGTATATGTGATCCACTTATCCATAATTGTATGTGCAATACATAATCATTTATACAATGGGATCATATGTATGATCCAACATAGAGTATAATGTTTTTTTCTTTGTCAAATTATCTATTGGTGAAGTTTAAATATTACTTTTAGTTTAAAATATTTTAATACTTAATATCTTTTAGCAGTTTAAAGTATTTTGACACTTATACTTGAACAAGCTTATTAGGAGCCATGTGGATAAGAAATTGCTATTATAAAAATTAAAAGGAAAAGTTAAAAAAGGCAGCATACCACAAAATTTTTATATTTACTTATATATCACTTAAATCTCTAAATCATATACAAAATATCACTAATATTAATTTATTTAAATTAAAACATATCTTTTCATGCTGTGATGTAATTTAGACACTAAAATAATATATAAGTAAATATAAAAATATAGGTGTTGGATTTTTAAACACAAATTTTTAAAGTTAGCCCCAATAGTTAAAGTTAATACCTACAGTTAAATATGAAGGCATTTTGAGTATTAGAATGTATGTGAGATTATATTATTATTTTTATATATTTTGTCATTTATCATTTTTAAAATAAATATAAAAATTATAATTGAAGTTAGTGAAGTTTGTTAATTATTCACTGTTGTTATTTAGTTGGTTAACTTTCATTATGATTTTTGTATTGATTTTAATATTATAAATAACAAAAATTAATATAATTTTATATAAACTATAATATCTAAAATACTCTTATATTTAACTATTAGGGTTAATTTTAACTATAACTTTTGGCCTTGGGACTAAATTGAATATTTACTAATAATCGGAAGACTATTTTGGGATTTTACTCCCTGATCATTAGATCAAGTTTTCAATTCTAAGTCATTGCATTCATCATCATCCTTCTGTTCTATCAATCTTATAATAATTTAATTTATTATTAATACATTTTAAGCATATATTTGTTATCATTAGGGGTGTCAATTTTTGACACGACACGAAACACGACCCGAACCCGACCCGGAAAAATCCGGGTTTGGGTCAACCCAAACCCGAAACGGGTCGGGTTCGGGTTGAAGAAATCAACCCGTTTTAAAAATCGGGTCGGGTTCGGGTTGACACGGAAACACGAAATTGACCCGAAAGTGACACGAAAATTCAGATTTGACCCGAAAATCCGAGTTTGACCCGTTTTTGACCCGAAAAACGAAGATTGACCCGATTTTTGACCTGAAAACTAGTAATTTTGGGTCAATTCCGGGTCATTCGTGTCGGGTCGGGTTGACCCGGACCCGAATCGGGTCGGGTTCGGGTCTGGAAACCTGACCCGTTTTTAAAAACGGGTCGGGTTCGGGTTGACCCGAACAGTGCCGGGTTCGACCCGAACCCGACCCGTTGACCCGAATTGACACCCCTAGTTATCATCAAAATGAGCTCATTAACCCAATGAGCTTGGATTGTGTTCTATCAAACTGAAGCCTTCTTTTTGTTTTTGTTGTTTTACATGTTTCCTTCTTTTTTTTTTTATTCCGGCGGTGCAACTATTACAACATTTCTAATGTTTTTCTACCTTATTTGTGTCTTCAAGGGAGATAACCCTTTTTCGTAATCAGTGTATTGATAAAATATTCATTCAAATTACATACTATCAGTTTACTCAGCATCAAGGGATGATGATAAAAGCAACCTAATTTCTTTGCCCGGTTCCTACTCACTCCATATCTTTGCTTGTACCCTATTATTTTGCCTCAAGCATAATGGCTATTTTCATAAGCCTTTTAGAATCCCATAAAAAACTTCATAAAAATCATATCGGACATATCTATTAAAACTCTATCTTACAACAAAACTATACACCAAAAATTATATATTGAAAATATCAAAACCTGATCTTTATTCGAGTTCTACCTTATATTTTTTCTTTCTTAAAGTAGTTTTTAATATTAGTAGGGCATGAGTATAAAGAAATTCAACAAAATAAACAATTTAAAAATAGAAAGTAATTCACATAAAAGTTTACTTGTACTCATGTTATCTCATATGTTATATATAATCATTGTGTAAGAAATATCTAATTTAACATCTGATCACTTTGTAACCAAAATATCTAATTAAAACAACCTTAGAGGAAACATTAGAGTTCATGTATCAGTCACATATCATCAATTATTAAAAAATTATCAATGAACATCTTTTGTTGCTTACATATATCATATATAATTCTTATTACAGCTTTAGAATGGATAGTCTATATGAAAGTGGTTCATTTGACTATCGTAAGGTCGGAAACTGTGTCGAGGACCATTTGGCCTCTTAACAGACTTGCCTTTATTACTCTATTTGTACAATTCAATATACATATTTTATTGAGGACCCTTTGTCCTCCCACTGGGATCACCTCTATCGCACGACCTCTACAATTCATAACCTTACTATTCTATCAACGTACATGATTTTTCTGAAGATACTTTCATAAAATTTCATTGTTTTACCATTTCGGTGTATACATCTTAGTTTCATTTTATAATTCTATTCATTTGCGTGCATCTTTAAAGTAAAATAAAAGCAACTTTTTTAATAAAAGAGACATTTCGATTTTTATATAAAAAAAGTAACAATAATATATCATAAAAAAGAAAGATAGTGACATTAATTTGTAATAAATGCATTTCTTGATGTTAGATTTGCTTATCTTACCTGATGGTGTCAACGATTCCTCCCCGGATAAATTGTCTCGTTATTAACAGCCCCACGTTTCTTTTGTGTTTACACTACCTAAATAATTGATTTAGCGGGTTAAAATTTGTTTATAATTTCTGACACTATTAAAATTTCAATTTCTTCTCAAATTATTCTTTCCTCTTATAACTCCTATGCTCCTCAACTCTTATTCGTAGCCAAATAAACGAGTGAAATTACTAAAAATTCAAAATTTACCTCTTAAGCCCCAAAATCCCCCTCTCCTCCCTTAGGCCTGCACCCGCCCTACCCTACTCACCGCTCTTGACCAAGAGCTCTCTCAGCTGTTTTGTCCGTGAATGCAAGCTTCAGCTATAAGCAAAGGAATAGATATAAAGGTAATATCCTAAACTACCATTACCGCCCTTAATTTCAATCACAATAAATGCACGCCAACTTTAGTGGGTCTTCCAAATTTTGTATAATACCACCATGAACTGTAACATTTTAAGTTAACTTAGGAAATATTTAATTAAAATCCATTTAATTTGTGTAAGCTTATGCATTCAAATTTTCGTATATATATATATATATATAATACCAATTTGATTGGTATAATTTTTATGATTCTATTAAGATATAATTAAATTTTTTAGATGTACCAAAATGGTGTATATATAAAAGTAATAATTTGGAACTTTTATCTTCTCAAAATTCTTGGGTATTACATATTTTTCTAATTCTGAATCACAAACCAAAGAGGCCCAAAAGCTGGGTTGTGTTTTTTTTTTCAGAGAAAAACAATGTTTTTCCCACACCATGGATTGAATTTTTTCTTTGATTTGATATGAACACAAATATTTTGAAAATTCCAATATTTTTGGACACCCATTTGGAACAACGTAATCTCATTTAAACTGTTTGCGTCTCCCTTTTTCAATATCGTTGCAGCATTAGTTGCCGAACTTGTAAGCTAGTGCTTGATGTAGTGATTAAGCAAGTTCTTTCGTTTGGAGTAATATTAGTTTAGGGCATAAATACTCTGGCTCTAGCATTATACAATTCTGCCAGAAGAAGTAATCATACGTCCTCATTGACAAGTCTTGCAATGTCTTCTCTGAGCTTTATAAATTCAATTCTCATCTTCATTTGTACGTGCTGGACTAAGCCAATTCATTTTTCATTGTCCCTTTCTTATCAGAAAAGAAAGTTGAAGATCCGCTCAACTATTTATAATTTGGAGGAAAAGAAGCAGAGAATTATTGAAGGAGGTGCAGCAGCTGATGAAGTAAAAGTATGTACAACGTGCAATGTAGTTTGCAACAGTGCTAAAGTATTTGCATCACACCTTGCAGGAGAAAAACATGCTCTTAAGGTGAAACTAAAAGTTTCTTATTACTTTCGGCATTTTCTTTTTGTGTTTTTCGTATTTATTGTCAAGTATGATCCATTATTTAGAAAATGTCATTTTATTTGTCCTCGCCATTTAGATATCTAGTGCTTGTTAAAATGTTTAATCAAAGTTGTTGATTCTTTTCTCTTTTAGTTGAATGTGCTGCTCTAGTTAATAACTTAATATGGTATTTCCTTGTAATGAATAATGCATGTACAATCTTTTTGATGTCACACTTACTTGATTGATTGTACTTATCATTAATTTTATAAAATCATAAAGATTCCTTGGATCCAGACATATGGCCAATTGCTAATCTTAATGATATTTTTTATAACTTCTAATTTTTTTCTTATCATGATGATTGATTCACAAGCTTATGTAATGAATAAATATGTGCAGGCCACTTTCTTATATTATCTATATTTTCGTCGTTGGCTTACAATTTGCACACAAGTTATACTTTCTTGCGTATATGAAACCTGTATTTCATTCATACATTATTTAATTATGTAATCAAATAGTGTACTAAAATGGTAATTTGTTTTCTATTATGTAATCATAAAGATTCCCTTGTTTTGTTTTCATGTTTCAGGCCTTGGGACCTAATTATCGTACTATGGTGCCAAAAGTAATGGCTCATTTAAAGCAAGTGAAATATGCCAAAAAGTCAGTTCCCAACAAAAGAGCTGGTCTTGGTTACATTGCTGCTCCCAAAATTGTTGAAAATTTTTCTTGTGAAGTCTGTAAGATTGAATGTAATAGCCAAGAGACCTTCAACACTCATAAAATGGGAAGAAAACATAAGGCAAATCTACTAAAATTGCAGGAAAAAATTACTCCAAAGCCATCTGCTGCTACTAAGAAAAATACAGTTGGTCAAGATCAAACTATAAATGTGGAAGCGGTGAAGAAACCATCTTCAATTAAAGAGGATTTGCAGACCAAGAAGGATAAGGTTGTTCAGGGAGGTGCTGCTGAAGAGGCTATAATGGTATGTGCTCTTTGTGATGTTGTTTGCAATAGCAAAGCCGTTTATGACTCACATGTTAGTGGGAAGAGACATCTTGCTATGGTTAAGAAGCAGGAGACTCAAGTTTGAACCAGTTCGCTCATGGCCGAAAGCTCAACTCAGCTTTTTGATGGAATGATCTTTCTGCTTTCAATTTCTTCCATTGGCCAATTTCCTCAGCCAGAGACAGTAAACCCTATTACATTCAACTCAACGACTACATTCACAGATTGTGTTTTGGAGCATTTTATACTTTAGCTAAGTTTGTCTTTTGATATCAATATAGTATTTTAGTTGTTTATCCTTCCAAAGTGATTCTGAACTTTTTACTTAGTGAACTTGTTTGGGCTTTCTGGTGCCTGAATTATATTGGCGAGAGGCATTTGATGTGAATCAGCTGTACTCAACGGTTATTAACAGTCCACAATCAATGGAGTTTTATAGGCATCAGAACATTGCAAAGGTAACAACTTTTTTGTCAAAGAATTTTTCATTGTTTTGATATATTATCTTTAATTTGTATCAGAAATATTTATGTATTGTTTTAGGATTATTTGTAGATGCTATGATTTTCTTATATATCTGACTGGTCACAAATATTTGGCTCTATCATAAAATTATGAGAAAAGGATTGAATTGGTTTTTTTAATTTTTTAAAGGATTTATATAAAAATTTCAATTTGGTCATTTAATTTTTTAAATGAGACTTAAGTAGTCTTTTTGTAAGATCATTTATGTTCTTATTATAAAAAGTCGGTATGATTAAAATAATTTTTTTTTAAATTGTCGGTAATAATTTATTATGTAGAATCAGAGAGTTATTTTGATTTTTATCTCATAAAATCATAGAGCAATAAAAAAAAAAGATGAAGAGAAGAATTAAGAGTAAATCAAACAAGTAACTTAAGAGGAATAATGCAGCTCTTTTTGATTTTTAGGTTGGAAATTTGAGTCCCAATTATGTCATAGTTTCAAGAGATTATTACGTGTAGAATCTAAACTGGAGAACCGTCTGATTTTTGTGAGTATGAGCAACAAATGTACAATAAAAGCGCAACTATTATTTTTCATTGTGTTTTTGGTTTTACTGTACACACTCACAAAAATGGACAAAACTTTTGTCCAGACTCCACACGTAATACTCTCCTTAGTTTCCAGTCTCGCATAGATTTTGTATGTGTTTGAGCTTTTCTCCTAATTTCTCAAAAAAATAAAAACTTAAGAATAATATATACTTATATCCAAAACTATGAAATAAACTTAAAATAAATATAACCTATTAATATTAATTTTACACTAATCTCTTAAAATGAGCATTAAAAATGGGATTTTTACATACATACCACTTTATTTGTTACATATTACATATTTAACACTAATTCTTAAATATTACATTAATACCACCTAAATATCATTCTCATAACAAAAGTGCCATTCTGTCAAATGCTTTACTCATTCTGTCCGAATTCGTTAGGAATGCCCTAGCCAGCGAACATCTTCGTGTCCTGGAACCCTTTCATCCTCCTCCCCGCGAGCTGTCGCCATGTGCATTCTTCCTCGTTGATCTTCCCTCAGGCATCTTCCTCGCAGATCTTCCCTCCGGGCATCTTCCTCGCAGATCTTCCTCACAGATCCGAAACCCCGCATCTTCTCGCGGAAACGTCCAGAAGAGCTGTCGTGAGCTTCATTCTTCCTCGTCGATCTTTCCTCCGGGCATCTTCCTCGCAGGTCTTCCTCACAGATCCAAAAGCCCACATCTTCGCGCGGAATCGTCCAGAAATTCCGCTACTCTCACGATTTGCATGTTCTCTTATTTCTACTATTTTTTTAGGTTCATAATTTGGCAGATTTTGTTTATTCAAAGTTATAGAATGAGTTTCTAGTTACAGATTATGTTGATTGTAAATCTCTAAGTCTTTTGTTACATCTTGAATTCTCTCTTCTTAAGCTTGTTTCTAGTTATAGTTGATCTAGTCTAGGTTTTTGTAAAAGAATTTCTATTGTAATGCTTTTGAATAGAGTAAGCAGTGGTCTTAAAAATTCATTTGTCAGATTATGTGTTGTTTATTTCAGACGTTTATTCGTAAATTTGTTTGTCTTTGTTGATAGATTGTTATAACATTTCAAATGAGTTCTACGAATTCGTCTGCCACGAGGCGCACACGATCTGAAGTTTATTGTTATTGTCGGCTGAATTGTGTCTTGTATACATGCCACCGTGGTCCTAATAGTGGAAGACAATTTTATAGGTGCATGAATAATCGAACTGATGACGACTGCAAATACTTTAGATGGATAGAGGAAGTAGAAGATGCATATTTTGGTACAGATGATGAACGCAAAGGCTTTGAGGCAAAAGTTATTAAGAGGCTTGACTCTATCAGATATTTGATGAAAGTCTTCATTGCAATTGTTCTTATTGATGTAGCCACCCATTTGGGTTTGTAATGTGTTTTGTCGGGATGGGTTGAATGCTAAGTAGTATCAACACAGGTTATTTTAAGTTTTGTTTTGTCGTCAATGTTAGTTCCTTGAATTGTTGTGTTGATCAAGCGTATGTTGTTTGATTATTCAAATTAATGGAAAAAATTACTAAATTATGTTCATTGAGATATGTCAAACAACTTCTTTTCATTTTTAAAATTTGTTTGGCAACTTCCACATTGAAATAAATTTTAGAATCTGCAGGAAAGCAAGCTCATCACACATTCTCAGGTTGCTTTGCCAAAACGTGAAAATAAAGTTGCTCCAGGTTGCTTTGCCAAAACGTGAAAATAAAGTTGAAACAGTCAATAAGATGGCATGCTGGGACGTTTCAGCAAAAAGTGAAAATAAAGTGCTAATAGTGCCTTTGCTGAAACTAACATAACAAGACATAAAACTGAGAAGCTGCAGGTGGTGCATAGCGATCTTCATTTTCGGCAAGCTGCAGGTGCTACTAATGTAACTAATGATCTTCATTTTGGCTCACCAAAATACAACAAAAATAAAACCAAAACTACAAAAGTTTCACAACAAAACTACAAAAGTTTTTGGCTCACCAAAATACAGCAACAATAAAAGTAACAAAACATGATCTTCATTTTAGAAACCATCAAAATATGAATAATTGAACTCCAGCTCAACGTCATCCGCTACCCGTCTATTTGGCAACTTGTCCCGTCATTTTCGTCGTACTTCCATGCCCGTTGTCTCCTTGTTATTCTTATTTTGCAAAGGGTTATTGCAAGTACTTCGATGATGTCCCCATAGACCACATCTTCCACATCTATGTGATCACTTATCTTGCTCCAAGAAATTTAACAGCCTTTTTTTCCTTGGACGACATCTTGGTCTACATGTATTCGGTACACCTACTTGCTCACAATTTTCTACAACGACTTGCCATTGCTCCTTCCCAGGTAATGCGGCAATTGCTCCATCATATGCAAGGCTATATCTAAATTACAAGATACCTTAAAATTAGTAGTTGTAAGCTACAAGTAAGCAATAAACAATGAGTGCTATTTCATACCTTGCTACATAGTAGAACTCATCAACATAGGTGTGCCACAATGGGTGCTCTTTCATACCAATGAAGGCCACGACATGAATACAAGGCAAACCTATTAGCTGCCATACTCCACAAGTGCATCCTTTTTTTCAATATCGACAATGTGTCTTGAGTGCAGTCCTTCCACCTCAGCATTGGAATTGCTAGCTTGCCGAACAACCAAATGATCTTTCCTTGTTGTTATATCTCTGATATATTCTTCTACATTTGGAACTAATTCTCTCTGCCAAGTCAAGCTTGTCATCTTTCGTTGAGCTCTTTGCTCCATAATCTTTCCCCGGACCAAATCAATCAGGTCAACAGCAGGCTTGGTTCTAGCATCAGCAATCCATGTGTTAAATGACTCAGCAAAATTATTTGTATTAGTAGCATGACCTATCCCAATCATGAATTGGCTTCTTGACCACTTGTAAGGTAAAGAAAGGAGATATGAGTACAAATTAGGGCTCAACTCATGAAGTTCGGAAAGCTTCTCGATCATCTCTACATTAGTATAGGCATTTGCAGCTGCCCATACCAATCCTTGCATTTTTTGACCATCTTTACATCAAATTTTTTTTTTTTGATATTTTTCCACAAATGTCGAATGCAAATTCTATGCTCAGCTTCAGATATATTTCTTTGATTGTCTCTCCCAAACCCTTCTCCATATCAGATATGAAACTAAGAGTGCTTAAATTAGTACCAATAGTCTCTCCCAAGTTCTTCAAGAACCATGACCATGAATGTTTGGACTTAGCCTCAACAACAGCATATGCTATAGTGAATAAGCCATTATTTTCATCTACTGAGTTGGCGGATAAAAGGACACCCAAATACTTAGATTTAAGATGACATGCATCTAAACTTATAAGTGGTCTGCACTCATATAAAAATCCATCTACACACACCTTGAAACTAACATAAAACCTTCGGAAAGAATTATCAATAGCATTAAATGTATATGTTATGTGTGAGCCCGAGTTTCTATCAAGTAATTATGCTGTCAATGTTGGAACCCATTTATAGTTGTCATCTACTGAGCCAAAAATTGTGTCACGAGCTTGCTCTCTTGCTCTCCAAAGCTTCATATAAGGTAGTGATAAACCAAATTCCTTCTCTAAACCGCTATTTATTTCTTTTGGTGGAATATTTGGATACCTCTTCACCATCTCTTGAATCTGATTAGAAACCCATGTAGATGTAGCTAGCTGATTTCTAGCACTATTTATCCCAGGGCATGTGTGTTCTCCATCAACTCTCCTAACTTGAAAAGATTGAGTGTCTTCACATAGGGATGCCCGAATTCGCCATTGACAACCTTGATAGGAACAAGTTGCAATAACTCGTTTCTTATCACTGGCTTTTATCCTCACCCCAAAGTTCTCCCTAATGGCAAATGATCGGAGTGCATTTTTGAAACTTGTAGCATCATTAAAAAATGTACCTATAGTGATATATGTAACACTAGATTTTTTAAATCTTGAAGCACCATCGTTCTGAGAAATGGACCCATCTATTATTTGCTCAAAATTCTCTGTCCCCATAATCTGTGAGTTTGATTGATCTTCATCAACTTTGTACAATGAGATAACTATTTCGGCACGTGAATATTCATTCATTTGGTTTACCAACAGGCTCACATTATCATCGTAATTGATTACTTTGTACTCCTTAGGGGATGTTCCATTAATGTGATAATGCATGTTGTACTGATCTCCATTCAACCAAGGACATATTTTAGTAATCTCTGTTCTAATCTTGAAAATATTTATATGTCCTTTCTCAAGTTTCACAGTCCTTTGTTTGCCGCCAATATATCTCTTTCTAGATTGATCCTTTGTGTGAACCCAAATTCCTCCAAATTTAAATGCAATAAACAAATGCTCTTTTTTATCTCTACATAAATCATCTATTACTTCATCACAACAATCATGCATTGTCGAATTATGCCACGAGGTTGTCATTTTTC